ACGGCTTCATTTCCCCCGTTAATAATAGCAATCGCGTGGATTTCTTTCTTTTTTTTCCAAGGCTCTAATGTGTGCCCCGTATACTCTTTGTGTATAATATGCTTTCTCGCGCGTGTACGCGAGTATTAGCTGATGGGTGGAAGTGGAAGGTACGAGTGTGTGTGCCAGTATACTACAGGCTTTCTCGAGCCACTCTGCACGGCCCAGAAAGCCCGAGCCGGAACCAGGGCCGCGAGGAATCAATGACCTTGGCGAACGTGCCATTTGGGTATATGTGTGTGTGCGCGCGCACGTGTTGCTTTTGTACCTACGCGCATGAGAGACGAAAGGTATTTCGTATCGATTTGCCGGCGAAATACTCAAATAGAAGCTGGGTAGAGTGTTTTCAAATCGCGAGTGTGGATTTAGAAATTTTGTCTTCTCTCCGCCACGTGCGTGTGTTGTTAATGGGAGTATGTGCCATTGAGTGACCTTTTTTTTAACGCAATCGATTATTGGTACAACGTACGATTTGGGATGAGTTTTTTCCAACTTATAAACGTTATTTATCTTTTTTTTTCTTTTTTTTTTTTTTTATCTCACAGGAAGTCGTATGGATAAGTGTTGGTATTGTTTTACAAAAGCCAAGGAGTAGTTTTTATACCGAACGGATGTTGTTTATCAGTTGATTTATATCTGCACCTCAAAATAATGCGGGAGTCTTTTTTTTTCTTTCGAAAGTTAAAAGATATGTACAATAACACATTATCTTTTCGTGATAGTGTTAAAATTACCATTTGTATCTTTTTTTGTACAACTTTGGATTAGGGCAATGAAGATTAAATGAGGAATCCAATAAAGTGATTGCTTTTATTTTTAAAAGTCTTGAGCAATATCACAAATTAATTTTGTAAATAAAAACTGCTGCTCATGAAATAACATAATTCTTATACTCTTTGGATTTTTATTGTAAAAAATATATAATGTTTGAGTTATACTTGTCACATCAACTTAATGTACTATTATGATTTTCAACTGTAAGTTGTTTATTATAACAAAAACTTTTTAGTCAGAAAAACATATTTGTCAAGACAAGGTATTGTTGAAAGTTATAGAATAACACACGAACAATACGGTGCAATGGATGAACTCAAAATCTCTGATTTAGCTACACTTCCCATTAGTTAAAATTTCAGTTAATCAGAGTCCGAGGATCTGTGACCATCTACTGTGTATTACCGAATGTTGACATAGTTATCTGTATAAAGAAGAGAAAATTCTATGGAAAATAGTTTTGAAGAAACTGTAAAATCGTTTTGAAACTAAAAAAAAACGTAACTACCTTTGAGGTTGACAAAATAAAAAATACTTTATTACTATACTATATTATATTATTTTGGAAACCAAATGATTTTATCCACAAATTGACAAATTGGGTTAAAATAACTGAAAAATCTTCAAAAGATCGATAAAAAGATACAAAACTACTTATAATTCTGAGCTGCTATACTTAATCATATGAAATTCAACACTTTCAGCTTGGGATCGATAAAATTTAACAACAGAATCCTGAAACGTGATGCATTAAACAATATAAATTTATTTTTTTGTTGTTAAAAAAATATAAAGGAGCGTGTCAGAATTAATTCAAAATAAAAAGTAAAGTTATTTTTGTACGGTAGAATAATTTTGAAAGTCAAATTAAAATTTTTTACCGTAAAATCATGAGGTATTGAACATAAATTTTCTTTGGAAGCCACTATGGAGATAAGAAAACAAAAATTTAAAGCCTTGAATCAGTATAATCTGTCAATGAGATCCTTACAATATGATCGTATTTATAAAAATTGTATTGGTACTTCATTCATACAAAACAAAAATAAACAATGTGTTAGAGTGATTTAAAACAGTAAATAAAACTATTTTTATTCTGCGTGAAGTTAAATTATTTTCAAAATGATCTCAGAATTGTCTTACCCAATTAATGCAAAAATAAATTTTTTTTTGTTAAATAAGGAAACAGCGCGTGCCTATGCCAAAATATTCAATTCTAACAAAACAGTTGAGACACATATTTTAAGAAAAATTAATATAAAAATTTTTTAACCCTCTCCTCATGAGGCAGCATAAAAATTTTTTTAAACAAGAATACCTAAAAATGTATGGAAATAAGTTATCATTTTAAAAGTGATTAGCCTAAATTAAAAAAAAAAACAATTTTCAGTTTAACTAACTAAATTTTTGTGCATACAACGAGGAATTAACTAACAAATGTTTGGGTATTACAAAAAGATTGAGAGTGTTCATGGAGTCATATATAAATTACTAGTTCTAATTAAGTGGGGATGATATATACATTTACATATTAATTACTCAATCACAATACCTTATGATCTGATCTAATTTAAATATATTGAATTTTCAAGTACAGTAATTTTAAAAGGGAGTCTATGAATACGGTCTGGGGTTAAGCCACACGTACTTATTTATTAGTTCCATCGGGTAGATCATCAAAAAAACTAAAATTTTCTTATTTACATCACCAAAAATTGAAAGTGATTTCATTCTTGAAAAATATGTTATAAACATAGTCCTTGAGACGGCATTCTGCTACTCAAGCTAAGGCGCTCAATAGCTCCGTCAATTCTTGTTCATGTCCAAAAAGAAGAATACATAATGATTTTTCAATAATTTATCCTAAGAGACTATTACAGGTGAAAATAATTATATCGCACCCTATCAAAAACAGCGGTTGTTAGTGTGATTTGATGAAAAGAAAAAAAAAAATTGTGGCTACTATTTTGCCCATAAATATACATAAAATACTAAAGTTTGTACGAAATTTTATTCAATACTTAATACTTAAATAATTATGTATTAAATACCGAAAACCCTATTTAAAAGGTAAGTATGACCTAACATTAAATAATAAAAAGACTTTCTGTATAAGACATTTTTTATATAGATCAGCCATTTTTTATTTATACACAACAGTTACGACAGTATTTCATTTCAGTATTGATAACTTAGACAGTAATTGATTATACTGCAATTATTGTGGTACGAATTTACAATTACAACTGCTGTTAACAGTGCCTGTAAATATTAATTTGTAAATGGAATTGGTAAGTACTACAATAAATAAAGTACACTTTAGTATTTATACATAAAATATTACTTACTCTTGATGTGATTCTGATCTTTGGTTAATATCGATCAGAAATCAGAATTGTAGACATGGCTTAATCCATTAAAAGGTAAGGATCCATGCTCAGTGCTATCTTGTTGGGGAAAATTAATAAATTAAAAAAAAAAAAAAAAATATCGTTAAAAATGATCAGTAAGTTGGTATCATTGTATACCAAGTGAATGTCTGTCGAAATAAATAAGCAAAAGAGAGATTATCGATGGAGACAAGCAGGAAGAAAAGCAATCTAGAACGAGCAGCTTATTAGCAAGTAAAAAAAAAAAAACCAGATATTAGGAATGTGACAGAGAAAAATAAATATGATACTCCATCCGCACTGTTTGAATCTGTATCTATACATATGAGAGTATTACTTTTCCAAATTAACGAGTGTTACACCTTACATCGATAATGTGTGTACTTAAATATTATGCCATTTCGATACTTCGTTGTCCGTAATTCCGTACTCATAGTTATAGTTTTTAACCCCCTCCTCCCCCCGTGACCGACTGGAAATAACTTGAGTGCATATGCACCAAAATTTAAGACCATCTGCTGTTAATTGTAGCCAGAATTTTCTTGAATTTTTTTTTACATGTAACATGACAATTTGAAACTCTATAAATGTACACACTTGCTGCGTTAAATACAAGTTTAATCAAAAATTTCAACCAAATAATGGGCACAAGACTTTATTATCCTAATTAATTATTAAGGATTTTTTTTACGTCATGTCCACGCATGATCTTTAAAAATTCTATGTAAGAAAAATATAAGTAATAATCAATCATCCAAAACTTTTAATCGATGTTTTTCCGATGAAGCATATTTATCAAATTTGCTAATTAACGTCGTGTAAACATCAACAATAATAAAAAAATTTTTATTGTGAGAAAGGATACTGGGGCAAAAGTAATGCAAAATTTTCAATTGAAAAAAAACAAGTTTTGTAAAATGGAATCAAGCAACACATAAAAAATAAAACAGGTTTTAAAATAGATCACAGGTGAGCCGAGTTAAAAAAAAAATGATCAAGGGGATCGTAAAATTTAAGTGATTACACACATTAATAAAATACACATTCTCATGTTATTAACATAACGTTTAAGATTTTCAACTTCATATATTGTACATCTACGAGGAAACCCAGATATCAAAAAATAAAAATAAAAAAACACGAGTCAAGGAAAATAACGTTTTTCTCTGCATCGTTGATTTGTATTTAAAAACATAAGAAATAAGTCCAGTTACATCAAAATCGATTACGGGATAATATCTGACGGATTCTACAGACCCACATACACTTTAGTCAGTGTCACCACCTGTATATTATGCTTGAATTTAAAAGTCCAAAACTGGCATTGATAAACTGATGTAAATTGATATAATAGATAGTAAAGTTTAAAGACTCCTCTCCAAAGAAAAAAATTTGACGTAAAAAGACGCATAGAGACTTGTCTAAAGTTGTCATGCATTTTACGCAATTTATCTGGCTTGTAACTTTCCTATGAAATTACTAATAACTGCCATACTGAGCCACTTCAAAAACTCGATTACGGCTCATTAGCTCCAGTATGCATCAGTATTGTGGTAATTATACAAACTAACAAATTTTTATCTGCAAAAAGCCAATATCTTTGTCACTGCAGACCTAGTTTTTAGACTTTATTGTGACATTGATAGTTCATGTGTTTGAATGTTCATCTATACAGGAATATAGGTGTGTTTCATTTATTTTTTTTATTAAAAGTTTTTAAATTTGTTGTAGTCTTTTTTTTGATAAAAAACTTTATTCTAAATTTACACTTATCACTATTGTTATAAATATTATCAATCCCGCATTTATAATAACATAACTTTATAATTAACAAAATTCACAGATTAAAATATAAATCCACTACATGGGTTTTAAACAACTGATGCTTCCAAAGTTGCGTTTGGCCTTTCATGGAATTTCATAAGGCTTTCAGAATAAGTGTCAAAAAACCTATTCAAAACTTTCAATAATCACTACCTCATGTAATTTTATACAAAATTTTGACACTGGCAGGAGTGATTTTTGGAATTAAATTCAAACAAAAAAATTTCTATTGAAAATATGTTGACTTTTACATTAATTTTATGTTTTAAGTGTTTCTTTGTAGAAACCTTGGTCAGTTTAAATCCAACACCACAACTCAAAGACTTATAATTTTGTACGTTCATTTAAGGAAAGCGGTAAATTGATCATACTTCTATTATTCTATTTGACAAAGTTATAAAAATGTGACAGTCAGTTCTACTTTATAAATTAACGTAACTAAGGCTAAGTAACTTTAGTAGAAAGTAACATAATTTGTACGACTTAAACGAAATATTTACATGCTAAGAAATAACTTAGGTACTTATTATTAAGACCTACTGTCATCGAGAGAATTATCAATATCATTTCTGTCTTCACCGATCATGTCCTAAAAGACAGAAAAAAAAATTGAGTATTAAAACAATTGCCAATCAAGTAAGAAGAATTAGATCTTACCTTCAACACTTCGACTAGAGCTCTAGATTCATTTAACATTTCCTTATACACTTTTAGTTGTTCTGAAAGTATCTGATTTTCTTCTAATGCATCTTGCAAGGCAATACGTCTCCTTTCTGCCAAAATTTTCCAATAGTTTTCACTAGGCTCTGCTGCAAATAGGATCAAATAAACAAAAAGTTTATTTCAAGTACATCATTCTATATAAATTAATTCTTAAATATGCAGTGTCTCACCATTTGAGGTGAGGTCGTTACTCGTAATCTCAAGCCTTTCATCATGCTTGCGCTGAACAGCTTTGTCTTTGAAAATCTTGATGTTCTTCTTTCCGTCTTTGCTATTTTTCTTAGGGCTATTTTTTGGTTTTTGGATAACTTTCTTCACAGGTTCCGTTTTCAACGTTTGTGCTGTTTTCTCAGCAGTAGTTTTGACGTCTTTCTTCATCTCACCAGCCATAGAACTGAAAAGAACAGACATAATGAACACATATAAAAGATTTATAAAGCTGGATGAACGGGATTCATCAACTTACTTCTTTATAGCGTCTTTACCACTGCTCGAAGAACGTAATTTTCTTCCAGCACCAACCAAATTTTCTTTATTTGTAGCTGCTGGCTGCAAAGGATGTAACGACTTTCTCCCTTTTTTCTGTGACAATCAGGTTTTTACTTTAAAATTCGAATTACACGTACAAAACAGTCTTTTTTTTACTTGCAAGAACTTATTTCACACTAACTTGATAATTTTAAAAGAAAACGATAAGAGTTGTTTACAACAGACATTCAATAATTCAAAAAACAAAATAGAACATAAATGTGTATTGCAGGATGAAATAAGTCTCGTATACGTTATTGTCAACTCAACTGTAGAGTATTCGCGATTGAAAAATTAATGTTTACAAAGTAGCAAAGACAATTCAAATTACTAACCTCTAAAACGACCGTTTGGGTATCCGCAACTTTTGTAGCTCCTCCGGATTTCATGATGTCTTTGTCAACTCGAAAGTAGAACAGCTACTAGTAATCATAAAAACAAACAACACTTGATTAAGAAAAACAAAGTTAGGTAATATCGATTTCATTTGTTTTAGACCGCAAATCTACGTAGGTACTTACTATTCGGTGGCACTAAAACTCTGAACGGCTCCAAAATAACCCATAACACAAAAACTCTTCAACGGTCGGATTCAAATTGTACACTAAAGCCCTCTACTTACAAAAGCATGTATTGCACACACACACACAGGTTGGTTGATTTACCCAGATGATATTCACTAGGTATTTACTCACACATCTCACACTTCGAAGATCTCATGGGCACGAACGAGCGGCCATGATCAGAGAGGTTTTGGAACTCGATTGGAGATGGAGACACGTGTAGTAAAAGTAAGGAAACGAATCTTACGTTTCTGACACAGTCGGAAACATCGTTAGTGTCAACAACGTCAAAAGGCGGCAATTCAAATATTAAAAGTGTGTGTTTCAGATAAAATCAAGCCTATAGAGAAAAATGAGAACAAACACTAGATACACACACATAAAAACTAAGAAAAAAATCAGAAATGACAAAAGTATAAATAAATATTGACTTTTATGTTGACCTACACCCTGGGATACTATACACTTAGATGTACGTATAACATTACGCAATAAATTTGAGTTAATGAAGCTATATCGAGCTACATTCACTCAAATTTAAACTGTCTCAATCGCAGTGACGTTTATGCAAGCCCGTTGGAAATTAACCGAGTTGGAAGTATAAATGCGTCTTTGGTACGTACCTCTCCATAAGAACTTCTGTGAAATTAAAAATAACATTAAATTTATTTCTATGTTTATAACACAATATATCATAATTTTTTAAAGGATTTCTGTAAAATACAAAATTTAACGGTTACTCTCTTCATATTTCAATTTAAAAAACTGCTGCCAATTCATTGGCCCAAAGCTTTTTTTAGGCGGAAAAATAGTATACTTACAAAACTCGTTCGAAAAGGCTTCTTTACGAACCTCGTTACGGCACTCGCCTTCGGCTTCGCTCGTACCATAAACCTCTCGGTTCGTAAATCGAAGCCTTTGCAAACTCGTACGTAATATACCATTGTTGTGAATTGTATTACCTCTAAAAATTTTTTAATGAAATATTTCAAAACAGGGAGACTGATTGTGCAAGGCCAATAAAATCAAGATTACAGAAAAAATGTGATGAATTTAATAGCATATAGATATAATATTTTAACATGTAAATCGCAGAAAAAAGGTGTCACCCTCACTGAAACCCATGTTGAAAATTTTTTTTAATAGTACATGACATTACGAGTAAAATGAACCTGTTACAGATAAAACAAACCAAACAATAGAGAATCACGTTTTTAATTCTAATGTATTCAAAATAAGGTTAAGAGCTAGTTTTCTCTTAAATATGACAGTTACTCGCCAGACTTCCAGAAAAAGAATGCCCGAGAATCGTTCTAGGATCCACTTTAAATAATCAAATATTGTCATGGTAATTAAGTTGACTAAAAAAACGAAACGTACCACTAACAAACTAAAACGTGGCTTCCGTCCGAGAAGGAGCAAAGCTCACTTTTTCTCGTGCTTTCTGAACTCTTCGAATTACGCAACCCGCCAATTCGAGGGAAAGAACGCCCACGCATGATCCCAGTGATCACCGTGGCGTGGCCTAGCACATTTACTTCCTTTTCATTCAATGTGCTTACTTTGAATGTTAGTGCACCAAATTAAAGTTTTATGTTGTATAAATAGATGGACGGTTACAAATTAAGTCAAACAGAATTAACGAGAACAGAGCCCTACTATCTCGAGAGTGTGCCTCAAAATTTTTTTTGTTAAAATAGGGGGCAAAAACGGAATATTTTTTGTGGATTTCCTCACATTCGAATGAATGTATGCTTACACATACACTCACCAGCAAAAATTTTTGTAAAATTTACAGTTGCATTACCATTATTTGTATAAACTTCTTAAATCTTCTAGATTCTTGAAATTATGTTAAATAAAAAAAAAATCAACTGTTCTGCGAATACCAACAACGTAAAGCATAAAACAATACACATTTACGCATTATAATCACATTTTTAGGAATGTTAATTCTTACAACTGACGGCTTTGTGACACCCTCTGCGTACATTCAATGGCACAAATGGCAGATATGGTACGACTTGTTTTGATATGACGAAATTGTTTTGAGCTGTATTTTATTTAAAATTAAAGTAACTTGATAATGTGCCTATTACTTAATGTATACGTTTTTATTCAGGAAAAGTAAGACAAATGGATTCAGAAAAAATTGTCAACAAAATTTGGTTCTCTCTGATCAGTATGCTTATTAAACAGTAAAATACAAAAATATTTAAAAGTGCTTATAAAAAAAAATTACTATAATAATGTGGATTACGTCAAAATTTAAGAATTGATGTCTAAAAATAAAGATGCAGGTACTTTTTTGAGATCCAAAATAGTGATTGAAATATTTCAAAACTTGAACGAAACCTTTTTAATGTAAGCCATAAAGTTTTAGTGTAAAAGCGAGAAATAATCTAATAAATTTGAGTTCAAACGAAGAAAAATTACTTTAGTTGATCTGGGAACTTCACTTACTACACACAGAGTCGAATGCATTCATTATTTAAGGTGCTTATCGCGATGGTGACCTGTTAAGGGGAGGCCCTACGTGGGGTCACGATAAGTTTGATATTCATTCATTAAATTTTTGTAGAAATGTACCTAATAAAAAGAAATATGTTATCATGTATATGTGATGAAATACACCAAATAGTAAGACTAAATTTATGAAAACAGTTTTTTCCTCAAAATACTAAAAATTTCAAAGTTCTATTTAAAATTATCTCCTCAAACTACTCAGACTACACTATTCAATCAAAATTTATTTTTCCCACTGAATGGACTTATGTACTTGTGGTTATACTTTTTGCTTTAGTGAGAATATAATATATGAAACACTCCCGAGGAAGAGACATGTCTAAGAACTGAGGACAGTAAATGAATACAGTATTATTAACAATAATGAAAGTAATAAAATTTATGCATTAGAAATAATTAACATATGTATAAGAGTGAAAAAAAAATATTATAAAAATAATTGTAGAAATAACTGCAACAGTCATAAGAATGAGGATAACAAAGGAAAGAGAAAATGATAAAAAGTGTCCAATATAAAGAACATTATACATTCATGTATTAACGGCACGATAACCATTTTTCAGGCTTTACCATTCTCCTAAGAAAAAACATAACATTGTACAGTAAGGTCATTATACAAATTCATATAATCGACTATTGATTACAAGATTGACATTATTAAGAATATTGTACATGTGAGGCATTATACATTATAATTTCGATTAAAATTTAAAGATAGTTTGATAAAAATTCCTATAACTACATATTTATGACGCTGTACTATCTCAAAAGCAGGAAATTATTATTTCATACAAATTTCCGTCGATTCAATATTGCATCCTTGTAGAAGATTATGTTTTTTTCGACTTCAATTTCGTCATTGTCAATTAAAATTTAACTTACAAAAAACTTCGTTTACCCATGAAAAAAAGTCATTCATGTATTTATTATCTCCATGGTAGTAACTCTCTAGTACGAATAAGAAGATTTAATATAAAACGATAAGCAGAGACTGTACTTGTAGTTGCACAATTATAATAATTTAGTACATTCGTACACATTGCTAATAATCTTCATCAAGAAATAAAAATAATGTTTTTTTCTCTGTTTGTTTTCGTTCACAATTCAAAAAAAAAAAAAAAAAAATATATATATACAGTTTCTAAGATAAGAGTTAAATTAATAAGTGAAGTCAAAAAGCCTAAAAGTGGAGTGAACGTATACATACGGCCTCTCTCGTGACAATAAACATGACAAAGTCGCGTGAGCTGCTGTGTCTCTAGTAGTATTGGTAAAACACCCTTATCTTGCTCGATCTTGTCACTCGTACATTTTAGAATACTTTTTATTGAACACACTTGTATTTTACTACAACGTTAGTCGTCAGATCTACGTGTAAAGATCCTGTAAATGTACTGTATGAGATACCTGCCCTCCCAAAACAAAAAACAATTCCATTTGCTTATTAAAAAAAGGTATTAACAAGGCAATAAGATGATGTTATTTTTCGGAATACTTTTTTATGGTCAGTCAACTTTGGAACTTCATCAAGTAAAACAGACCTATGTCGACAAAGAAGATAAGGAGTAACTGCAATTAAAGTTACATAGATCATCAAATTCAAGAAAATAATATTCTTTATATCCAAAAAACAGTCCTGTTGAATTTTATGTGCTGTTGATTGCTGAAAATGCTCACGAATGTAAGTTTACAAAAGATCATTAAATTTTCTTTGAATGATTTACTTAATTTTTTGCAGTTTGAAGCTCGAATCGATATGATGTTGGCTGAGTTATCAAAAAAAAATCTCGAAAAAAAAAAAGCAAAAAAGTGGAAATTTTCGTTGATTAAAATATTTTACTTATTTAATCGCATCTTTGGGTCTGTAATAGTGGGATTTAATGAAATATCGATTGAAAATAATATTTTTAATCGGTGGTCGTTTAGTTACTCATATACTGGAGTTGTATATAATATTTTTCTTGTTACATTCTTTACAGTAATTAACTGCCCAAATGTATTTAATTTTTTTGCTAATTTTCGTATAATTAAGATATCGTACACACAACTTTACGCATGTGTAGTGGTAATATTGATTTCTATAACGGCCAGTTTAACTTTAATTATAATTGTTGTCAAACAAAAAGCAGCTATTAAGATTTTTACTAAAATTAATTTAGTGAAAGAAATTGTCGGAAAATTAAGAAAAAAAAATAGAAACAATCAATTCATATTGAAAGAAATAACAAATTTTTCATTTCTAGTATTTACATGTATTTTTCATGGACTAACAACAATAACTTTTTTTCTCTATCATTGCATTAATTCCAAAAATCTGATAAGTGACCTAACTGTTCTAGCTGAAGTACTAATATTCGATGCAATAATATTACAGTATAGTTTTATTACAATTCTTATTACATTTTTATTCAAAACGATTAGGCAGCATTTAAGAAAAATTTCTAATAATTCGCCACTTGAAAGTGACTTAGGAATATATAGTAACGTACGAGATAAATCGTTGGCTATATTAAAGTTACGAGAAATAC